GATTGAATATAAACCCCTATGTCATATAGTGTTTCCATTTTCTTTTCCTTTAGGGATTGAATATAAACCCCTATATAATATTGTAGTTTCCATTTTCTTTTCCATTATACCCAATATAAACCCCCATATAATATAGTAGTTTCCATTTTCTTTTCGTAGCCATCCCTAAGTCCCAACCCTGAACCCTAAACCCTCAAACGCGAAAAGACCCGGAGACCTGTAGGCCCCAAGACCGATACCCTAAAGTCTGTCTTACCTAGCAGCTAGCCGTTTCTTTTCCACTCCTCCAACCCCCCATGTGTACCATTGTCTAAACTCCTAGTATCCCCCTTAATAAGCCCTATAGTAGTCCCCTATATAATCCCCTATATAACCCCCCTTTAAGGAGTTTAGACAATGGCTCTTGTCTTAAACCCTCAGCCCTGAAGGCAAAACCCCAATGCGTGCGCCACCGTGCGTTGGAGCGCTCCGGGGAGGCCTGCGCCATAGTCTAGGTTTAGGGGTTTAGGGGTTTAGGGGTTTAGGGGTTTAGGGGTTTATGGTTTAGGGTTTAGGTTTAGGGTTTAGGGTTTAGGGTCTAGGGCCTACCTCAGAATAGCCATAGACCATGAAAATATTAGGTACAAAGCTCCTTGTTGTAGGTAGTTAGACCACTCTAGGCAGGTGTTAGCAATCGGAATTTTGGGCTTTTAGCCTAAGAGTTGGGCCTAGGGCCCAAGGTGTACGGGTAGGGTTTAAGGCGCAAGGATTTAGGGGGGCATGGAAGCTTCCCAAACAAGACGGAACCGGCTGGAATATCCTGGGTGGCTCTCTTAGTGGCGGGCGTATGTGGAAACCAAAATTTAAACAGAATGACGACAAGGAGCTATGGCACTGCCCGATGCTTCCCAAAGCTTCCCAGCGATGAGCCAATTTGGGTTTCGGGTTGTTTTGTCATGTTTAAGTTGTGTAGACAGGGATATTGGGACTACGATGAGGTCATGGGAGCAGAATTTCAGGATTCTACGTAGAACATCCTACGAAACTCCCATATGCCTTCTTGGAGGACTCTGGCTGCTAAGCTTGAGGCCAAGATCTCCCATACTCATGTTCCTCTCTTATTCGCCCATGTCTCTGACTTGTGTTTTTGCACTCAGCACAGCACAGAAATGGGGGTTTGCTACAATTAGGGGTACTATTTTGGGGGTTCCTACAATAACGATTATCATACATTGCTCTATATTGGGGTCCCCCTCTTTAAGGAAACTACCACATGGAAGTTATGAGAACAAACCGACAGGCACCTGTGATTCTGATAACTCCCCGGATTCAGCTCCCCGCAGGAACCCCTCAACAATTCTGCTCCTCCATTGCCGCTGCATCGCCGCCTCCGCCTGCACAACACTTTGGATTCTGGGGACTAAACCACTTTGGCAGGCACGGGGACTGTCAAAATTAGAATCCGATCAACCTCCATCAGCAAAAAAATATGCCCCCAGACATTATGAGTAGACAATTAGGTTGAGGACGCCCGTACGTGGCTCGATCAACTCATTTTGCGGCTGGCAACCTTAACACGGTGGCAAAAGCAAGAGCCTGTCGCTCCCATACCATGGTGAGCCCTGACTCAAAAATTTAGAAAGGGTCTAAAGCAAAGTATTTGGGAACCTCCATGCAATCTGGGTACACAACAATGGGAGGGCTACTCTGGCATTAAAACTCCTAAATTTGGCGATTCCAGCGCGAGCTTTATGATCACGTGCCCGCCTGTACTGTGCACGCAGCTGCTGAAATGCGCACCAGGCTGTGCACGGATCTCACTGCTTCTCAACACTGCGAAAGAAACAGTTAGTTGACTAACAAACCTGGCAAATGACGAGCATCTCACATGTTGCTGCTGCATGCTTGAAGCTCAGATTAAATCGTGATATCCAGGAACAGGTCTAAAACACTGCTCAAACTTCGGGACCTTGAGCTAGTCATATTGGAGTTTGGTTCTAGGCTTCATAAGGGGGATATGGTTTGCTCTTGTTCGGGTGCCATAGTGCGCGGGATACAGCAGAACTATACATGCTGCAAGACACACCTTTCAATATACAAGAAAATTCATGACTACCCGGATTTTTTGTCATGATGATCTGGTTGACTCGCGTTTTGCTCGACGACAGGCCCAAAGACCCTAAACCCTAAACCTAAGCATATATCACTATAATCTAAACTCCTAGTATCCCCCTTAATAACCCCTATCATACGTCCCTATGTAATCCCCTATATGACCCCCTTAAAGGAGTTTAGATTCTGGCTCATATGCCAGGATTCGTTTCAGGAAGTCTCATCTTCACACTTTGCTCCTGAAGGGCCCTATAATCTCTTTACCACCTAGATTCCCTAAGCGCTCCCTGCTGCGAAGCCCCAATTGGTGGCCCGTACACTCCAAAACCCATGCGAATCCTGAACCCAAATTTTTGCATGTGAATTCAGGATGTACTTTGGATCGAGCAACGTCACAAAGAACAAGGCAGAGAAGAACCCCAAAGACCCGACGCCTCGGTCTGCTCCGCGCTCAGTCTCATCAACATCGAGCTGCCTGGCGCTATGGCAACAAATTGCCGGAGTTTGGACCCTTATATATATATACTATAAGTAGTTTCCATTTTCTTTTCCATTATCCCTATATAACCCCAAACATACTATAGTAGTTTCCAGCTTCTTTTCCATTATCCCAATCTAACCCCGATATTACCCGAATGTACTATAGTAGTAGTTGAGGAAGCTTAGAGGCTTTTGGGGTTCTGGGGGTTGGCAGGGCTTTGGAGGTTCAGGTGTAGTTCATAGTAGCTCTGGCAGACTCGGGTGGTATGCATTGCAAAAAACTATGAAATTAGCGGTAGAGCTACCCCTGAAGGTGCAACAACAATACGGGTTTCGGTGTCAGAGATCGTTTGGATTATGGTATTGGGGCCTAGGAGTCCATAATTTGGGTACTTGAACCCTTAACATACCTTGCATAATTTTCTTCGGAGGTCTTCGGAGCCGGAGCAGACATTCTACTGCCCAAACGAAGTCACCGGTGGACCGGGCGAGTGCTAGATTCAGTCGTGTGAAAAGTGGATTCAGGGATTGCAGCAGACTGCTGCTAAGCCACTGCGCCCTGTCAGCAGAGAGGCGAATGTTTTTTGATGATGAAGGGCAGGTGAAACAGGTGTCTGTCCTTAGACCGTATAGCCGCCCAAAACACAACGGTTGTAATGTATACCTAGGGAAGTGTAGCCAACCAGTTCGGAGGCTTTTACACACTACAATTGTTACCAGCCCATGCAGGTTGCACAAGGACTAGGTTGTCTTAAAAATCACTGAAAGTACCTTCGCTAGCCGTGAAAAGTTTCAACTTTGCCGTGCAAATTGAGATGGCATCTCGGGAAGCAGATCAGAAGTCGTCTTTGCTTGGAGTGCTGCAAAAGTACCCATGGTACAAACAGCAACAATACTCATTTTAGCTAGGTAGATGCAGAAATAATGCTACAGTGAGAGTGCTGCGGTATGTCTCAGAACCTACAAAACAGAGACATGGTGGACGGTGGATGCCAGTAAAAGTGGAGGCACCCCTGCTCTGGAAATGCGTTGGCATATGAGTTCCGTCTAAGTTGAGGCTTCTGGCTTTAGGGCTTCGCGTGCCCTTTATGGGCCATGTTAAGAAATCCGCATGATTGACGAGAATTTGAACTGGGGCCTGGTGCTGGCTCGACACAATGCTGCCACAGGCACCAGAGCGCACTCGAACAAGATGAAGGAACGAAGCTTGTATTTGATCCCCATGATACTTATACAGAGACTGAAACAATTGAAGGCAAAACAGGTGAAGTCATGCTTCAGCAGGTTTCCTTCCATCACACGGAAAGTAACTTTAGAAAAATAAATCCTGAGGCGTTTTTCCAAAACATACTCCTACCTGGCCCTACCTGCAACTCAGATGTCCTACATCTACCCAGGTCCAAGGACCCAAATAATAGGGTTTTAGGGCCCAGATACCCTTCATATTATAGCATTTGGGCCCTAAAACCCTAGCATTTGAGTCCTTGGACCCTTAAGGCTACATTTGTTGTTTATACCCTCTTAAGATACCAGCTGGAATCAGAGAAGGACGGACAAGCAAGGATCTACAGGTTTCGCCTTGACCCGCCAGTTCAGCCGAAAATGCAAAGACCGCTGACCTGTCACCTAACCCTAAACCCTAAACCTGACCTATCTATCCACTACGCAATCGGGGCGTCACGCACGACTTTTTGGATCTTGAACGCAGGCTCGGAGGTTCCGACAGCTTATTGCTGAAGTGGTCTACTAGGCTAAGAATTAGCGTTTAGGGTTTGGGAGGTTTATGTTTTTGGGTTTAGGGATTAAGGTTTAATTGCTTCATAGCCCCTGTTCTCCATGACTAGCGGATCTAAAGTGATAAGGGTCTGGGCCTTGGGGCTTGGGCCTTCTGGGTAGCCTTTGGGATCCAAAGCTGGACCCTAAACCGTACCTAGGAAATTTGAGCTATAGTCTAAACTCCTAGTATCCACCCTAATATACCCTATCATAGTCCCCTAAGTAACCCCCGTTTAAGAAGTTCAGACTGAAGCTCATACAAGGGAAATGTAGGGATCACTCTAACAGCCAATCTGCAAGTTCCTCTCAATCATGGCTCGCATTTTGGTGGTCCATATCTCAGGGTACAGTATGTTATAACATGGTTACTGGGATTCTACAGGTGTGTTGCCCTAAGGGTCCAAGTCCCCATATAATAATCATATACTTACCCAAAACCAGTACTATAATTACTATTACTCAAAACCCAAGTAACTAATCATTGTGCACATGAACCTACACACTGAACCCTAAACCCCAAACTCGAACACCCTAAACCCTTTACATCCCTCTATATCCCCCTTAAGGGGACCTCATTATTGGGCACATGGACCCTTTGGGTTATGGTACCCTAAACCCTAAACCCTAAACCCTATTATTCAGGTTGCTGCACTTCAGAAGCTTGGCGGCTCTCGACAGGGCTCAGCGTCGTGGGGAAGCGGCGCCGCCCGCGGCTCCTTCCGTCTGAGGGACTCCACGAGCAATATGGGGGGTTCCCAAAATTAGGGGTACCTTTAAGGAGGTTAATAGGGGTTATGATATAGGGGTGAAATAGGGATATATAGGGTTAGGGTTTAGGGATTAGGGGTTCCCGAAATGAGGGGTACCCTTTTTTGGGGCCCCTATAATAAGGACAATAGTAGTTTGGGGTCTATATTGGGGTCCCCTTATTTTGGAAAACTACCATATGTCAATTGCGTCAGCACGAAAAAAGCGGCTTGGGGGGAAAGAGGGGTTCAGAATTACTGTTCTTACAATTATTACAAGTATTGCAATTATTACTACTAGTACAATTATCACCAGTGTAAGTATTCCTCAGTTCACGAAATCGTCAAGGGTGATAAGGCAAAACCTGGATCGTACATCGGCGAGTCTCAATCTGATCCAGGTACGGGATTGCATGGAATGTGGGGAATGACTGGATGTAGCGAGCACAAACAGGGGCTTCGTGATGATGGGGTCCATACCGTCCAAGTTCCCTTGGTACTACACACTTCCTGATTTCATGGCCACCCACCGAGGCCGCGTTTGCCCCTAGATTAGAATAAGCGGCCCCATTCTGCGGGTTCTGGAAGGCTTGACGTTTCTACAGGGGCGTCGACGCTTGATCAAGCACTTTCGAGTCGAGTTGAGTGTGTTTCTGAAGTGGCTAGAACTTGATTTTTCACACTTGATACCAGGTCATTCCAGGCTCGTGCTAGCCTATCGTGGGGACCTTTTAAGCTTTAACATCTGCTGCTCCTCAAATCCCTAAGGAGGGGCCATTGCCGTGTCCCTTGTTCCCAGACCCCCTAAAGGATCC